GCTAGACTCTAAGACTTTCATGGCGGTCATGTCGCGCCACCATACAGTGCAGCCGGTTGCGCATGAACTGGATCTTGAGGGTGTCGGGCCAACGAAGGGCCGAGGTGCCGACGTTAAAGCGGGCGATGTACTCACCCATAGACTCTGTGGGCTTCATAGTGGAATTCAAGCTCTCATACCAGGACTGAGCTTCGATGCTAGTGTTCAGCGACTTATAGACAGAGTCAAGGATAGACCAAGCCTCGTTACTGTGCGCGAACTCAGCTCCAGGTTCGAGGTACCCATGCTGGAGGCATCCGAAAGCCTTGTCCTTGGTCTTCTGGCGGATGTAGCTAAGCTTCTTGGTTTCTGAGGCGAACTCGTAGGGATAATCAGCAAACCAATCGGTGACGTCCATCTTCCACTTAAGATAGTCGGCGGAAGTGGTGCCATTACCGGAGAATGCCTCAGGTTCAGGTTTCTTTGGGCGGGGGTGGCGACGGTGATCGTACTCTTCGTCATCGGAGTATCGATTTTTCGTAGACTGAGTGCCGCGCTGACCTTGGCGAGAGAGGGCTGGTAGAGGACTGTTGGCATCGTCGCCTTCAGAGTCCGATGAGTCTGGGGGGGGAAGGGCCTGTGTGGCCGCGCCTGGCTGACCTAGAAACCTTGGCTGTAGCCTGTTTTAGCTTAGCCTGGAGTTTCTTCATATTCTCTAATGTGGCTCGGTGGGCGTCGTGCTCAGTGATCGGAATGGTCTGGTCTGGTCTGGTCTGAGGGTACAGACCAGACCAGACCAGGTGCTTACATAAGGACCGGTCCGACCAGACCGGTCCGACCAACAAGACCGCCAAGAATGAGGCTGAAGCAAAGAAGGAAGCCGAGGAAATGTGTTTTACTACTGACTGTCAATCTAGTCGTCTTCGTTCTCACTATCCTCGATATCGCTGTTCCCCTCAGCTTGGGGCTTTCCATACCAGGCCCGGAGACACTCGCACGCTTCTATAATATCTGCCTTCAGCCTACCACGGCGATCGACGATAGTAAGCTTCGCGCTACTAAAAAGACGTTCGCATTCATCCGACATAGGCGAGATCGCAAACATGTCTAGAGCGAAGCGAGCGAGATCTCGTTGGGAGTCGTAGCCAGACTCCGCAACAATCAATCGGATCGGCATGATTGATTCCTATCTAGGTTAAAGGCTGCCTAATGAAGTAATTCTTTAACCTATATAGGAATCAATCATGTCAATCGATTGATTGTTGCGGAGTCTGGTCGTAGCGAGATAGCCAGTACGCAATAGCCTCATTGCAACCTGCCTCTTCGTTATGAAGCCGGTCAGTAGAGATGTATTGTTCATACAAATCAGTTGTAGAAACTGGAGCGTCTATTCGAATGCGCTTATGTTCCCGCTGGCGATCAAATGCTGGGTCAGGATCTCTCTCCTTCCTGGCTGGTGGTGGCAGCATCTCGACAGGGTACCTTCCCTTATACTCTGTCTCCCAGAGATGCTTCACCGCTAATTGTGCGTTTTCAAACCACCTCTTCTTCTCTTCGTCGCCATGAAGAACCCACTCTTGCCTGAACCATCCCCACTTGCGATATGGATCAAGGATTTGAGCCGCATAATATGCCGGTGGAAGGTCAGTATCTTCAGGGAATCGATTTTGCCAATTCAGCTGCTGATTGTTATAGTACTCAACGCACTTTAACCAAGCAGCATCAGCGCAGCCTTGAAGGTACTTCCATGTAAAGTTGTTATCGTCCTCAGTGTGGATGTCGTGGTAGTGATCCTTCGTCTCGCTTATCTCCCGGAGAAGGCAGTCCAAAGTTGAAAACCAGTCCGCAAGTGACGTCTTCTTACCTTCAGAAAGCAAAGTTGCAGCATAGAAGTCTTTGAGAGCGAGTTCAATCTTTTCAAGCTCAAACCAGTGCTGTCCATCAAGCTTAAAGTTCGCGATCCCTACGGAGCCCTTTCCAGGTACATGACGAGCCGAGAAGAGCTCTAAACGTTCTCGAACATTTAATGCACGTGTAATCGAATAAAACCATGAGTTCCAGCGGGTCGAGTTGTTCTGGATAAGCTCAAGCCCGTCGAATTGCGAAAGATCTCCGCCGATAATAATTGTAGCAAACTCCTCACGCCGTTGTGGAGTAAGCCTGATGTATCGCACCAGGTTGTGAAGACGACCCAAACATCCGAACTTCTTCCAGAGCTCTTCCACCTTCGTATAGTCGCCACGTTGATGATGCTTCTCCAGCTTCGCAAGATACTTCTCACAGTTTCGCCCCATAAGGAACGCCTGGCAACAGAGGTTGATGACATGGCCCAAGCAACGCAGCCGGCGATGACGACGTTGTTTTGACTTCATCCATGGGCAGAGATCCTTGAGTATAAACTCAACAGCGGTATCATTTGCCGAGGCATTATCCAGCATAAAGTATCCAATCTGATCTCCGCTAATGTCGTATTCTTCCAGCAATTCAAGGACCACCGATCCAAGATTCTCTCCAGTATGTTCGCCGTATATACGTCGCATACCTAAAGCGGTAACACGTCGCATGCCGGTAGTATCAATCCACATAGCGACGACGCCTAGGATAGCGTAAGGGTTTGGTGAAGTCCAGAGATCAAAGGAGATAGAGATCCTACTCCGTGAATGGTGTAGGTCCTCCCTAAGCTGTTGCTTCTTCGATATGAATGCATTCATTACCCAGCTTCGGATAGTCTTCGCAGCCTTCGGGAGGTGGTTGAGTAGTGCCGGATTTAAAAAGAGGAGTAGTTCACGAAAGTACTGGTTCTCTAATTGAAAGAAGGCGATATGGCAGTACACAATCCAACGAATTAGAAGCTCTTTAAACTTCTCTACTGACTCCTTCCAGAAAAAGATGCTGGAAGCAGCCCCATCCTTTTGCTGGTCGATTATAGACTTCCGTACAGAACCCTTTCGCTTGATGCCACTCTGGGGATCAATCTGGTGCTTCTGTTCCAGGTGATTCCGGATCCTAGAAGTGCCATTGATGACAAACAACTCTTGCTTGCTCTTCCCAACCCTGCACTCATGGCAGTAATACACCTCTTTCTTATCGCTATCTCGAATGTATTGGAGTCCGTCCTTCCAGATGTGTGATGTACCTTGACGGAAATCCTTCCTTGCAATTATTGCACGTTTCACGTACGTGATACCGCCCTGCACGAACTCATCTGGAGATTCGTGATATTGAATAGGAGTGGGTGATAGTATAGGGGTGGGTGATGACGTGGGGATAGGAGATGGAGTAAGAGACGTTAAATCTAGTCTTATAATATTCGATGGGGACGGTGAGGTTGGTGTTGAAGGCTCCATAACAATAGTATATAAGTAGGTTGTTAAGGACTTGATTGTTCTATGTAAGTAGAAGACTTACCTTGATCTTAATGACTCATATTGTGCTAAATTTTCTGGCTAGATTAGTCTAAGATCTAGTCACGTGGACCTATTTATAGCCGGACCGGTCCGATCATCTAGACCGGTCCGACCACGGTCTCAAAAAATCGCCAGACCAGACCAAGTCTTGGCGGTCTAGACCAGACCAAGACCAAGTCAGACCAGACCATTCCGATCACTGGTGACAGGTGACCGGAATATTCTCAACACCAATCCTATTAACATTTTGTTCTCAAGATTGGTTGATTGATTGACAGAAATACAGTGGCTAACTGTTGGTTAGTTGGTTGGCTCCGAATCAAACAAATCAAACAACAATATTGATGAGATATTGATTACTGACAACCTTGGTCCCTACAGACCGTTCACACTGTTTCGCAACCCTGCGTCAGGCGTATGCCTACGTGGTTGAGTCAGCCTGGCCAGATGTTGAACTACGGCATGGCTTTCTGCTCTTGGCCTACCAGGCCGCAGCTTAGCGATGACGAATGCCATGTTGTCATACAGCGTGATGCGAGGCCTGCCTAAACGTCCCGTATAGAGACTACGGTGCCGCTCGCCAATTTCAGCCTAACCTCCGTCTTAAGTTCGTCGCTGAGACCATAAGCTCGCGAGTTTGTGCTGCAACGAAACCGCAGGATGTGGTATGCTGCAGGTCGTGGAACGGGGTGCTGCGCAAGTGATTAAGGATGGCATTGCTCAGCTACAAGCGGAAAGCAGCCCGCGGCATCTAGGTAGGCAGCACGGGAAAGCATGACTTGACACACGAGGCCATCTCCACATGCCTCTGCCTATATGGCGGTTCATGAATCGCTATGTGATCCAAACAACATGGGCATAGCGCGATTTGACATCGCGGGTCGCAATACAAGTAATCCTGTTTCGGAATAACGCTATACATCTCTGCGAGTTATACTCAACCCCTATCCAGCCATCTCACGCCTTAGAGATGAGTATAGCCAATTTACCATAACTATCTCTTTAACGTGCCCTAATCGAATGCCAGGAACGAGTTCTGGGATATAGATGAGATACATTTAGCGCCATTCTTCGGGGCGTGTAGCTGTGATGGAGACATACCGTCAAATCTGAGCGGGTGCACATATCTTTCCCGTACTGTCTCGTTCTCAGCGTAGAAGCCACCGAACCACGGCAGCAAGGCTGCTGTACCTGTCTCGCGTTACAGTCACTAGCGATTGAGGCTTCACCCTTATGCGTAGTCGCGCAACGGTTTTGAGCAGCCCCACCTTCCGTACATGGCTTAGTGTTAGACGTCTGCTGCAGAGCAATCGATGCTACTGGTCAAATGTGGATCTAATAATGACTGCACTTTTGGAACACTGCCTGCAAGGGTGAAGCCGTAATCGCTAACCACTGTACAAGAATCACTCTGTTAATCATTTCTGAGTTTCTATCACCTAGCGGATAATCATCGTAGTGGTCACGATGCTGACCGTGATCGCTTTGTCACTGGTTAAGTCAGCCGAAGCTTCAGCTCTGCTGACACTGGCCCTGGTGATTGTCAGCATTCATGATAGTCCGACATCTTGCGGTATGAAAGATGCTTTTTAAACATTCACAAGAGCAAAAAGCGCGGCCTTTGCAGCAGTGTAGACAGATCAAAGGTACCAGTTCAACCTATCATTTTCAAAGTTATATCAATACCTGCATATTCCAAAATCCGCATCCGAAAATTCGCACAATCACGGCAGACAGCATTCGTAACATGTATGACCGGTCTAATAACCTCCACGGGTGGGCCACGGTAGCTCCGGCAATCCTCTCCACACTTGACCATAGAGTTTGTACTGTTACGAATGCATTGGTGCAGTCTGCTCATCCTCTCATATCTCGCGCACTCTGCTTCGGGAGCTTGCCGTGCTGGCTTTTCTTGCAAAGAAGTATAGTGCCACAAAATGAACGCCATTAGCTGCTTCTCGGCATGACATGCATAGAAGCTACCCTCCCGACCAAGATGATCGTATTCATGGCGTTTGAGGCTGTGGCCCACGATTCTGCTGAACTCAAACACCCTCTTCGTCCAGAGTTCTCGATCAACGCACCCATCGATATCTGCAAACTCCCCTCCACTCCAGCCGCTGACTGCAAATACAAGGTTGTATGCTTCTCCCCGCTCAAGATATCCAAATGTTTTTCTCTTATCAGCCATTGGGATTTGGTATGCATCACGGAATACAGTCACCATTGTCTGGACTACAGATCGGGAAATGGAGACCTTGAATGCATTTGCCTTATGCGCACGGTTCTGCTTGTGTCTCTTTGTGCGCTTTTGTGTAGCTTCGTGTACGATACAAACATTGATTATGGTCTGTACGCGATCGATTTTCTCCTGATGCTCCCGATACCTCATGCCGACAGAAGGGTTCGGATCCTCGCGATATTTCAGAACGATTTTTCCATTGGTGTCCTTGATAACTTTTGATATTCCAGATAAGCTACTGTTTGACAAGGATGGCGTATGACAGTAAACCCTGGTATCTTCCAGCCTCTCCAGAAGCTCTTTGGCGTGAGAGTGTACGCTAGCTCCACTTCCGTCACAACTCGAGATTGAGGCACCGTACGAGGCCAGGTATGTTGCGACCTCAGTTCGACCGTATCGCAGTGATATGATCAATGGGGTCTCTCCACTCTTGTTCTTGGGGTCAATCAGAGATCCTTCCTCCACTAGAAATCTGACCATATCATAGTGTCCTTCCATGCAGGCTAGAGCTAGCGCAGTGTTTCCGTCGGAGTCCTTTCTGTGAAGAAATGTTTTGGCCGAATTGATGCTCTCTAAGCAAAGTGCAGCTTGTTCGATATCATTGGTGACACAGTAGGATATAAACCACATGTACTCTTCCTCATCAAGCGCCAAGCAATTCAGCTGCTCCAGTAGATGCTCTTCACTAGAAGGAGCCTGAATAGCTCCTTGCGCTGATTTCTCGAGGATCTCTTCTGTTTCAGGGTCCTCGATATCGGTCCCAATTGTTCTCCAGATACCAGCGTCTCTATCCAGTTCTATGATAGTTGGGATGACACCGATCAGATTCGTTCAAGAGTGGGATCATTGATTGCTCTAAGGATCAGAAAGATCAGACGGCTGGTCCGGTATTTGTACATGATGGATCAGTCCCTTGGCACGGATCCGGAGTCTCAAAGACCCGATGCGATCACGTGATCATCCGACGTCCAACATCAAGTCCATTTCCGCAACAAGTTCAAATCCCAACTCAAGCTCTTCGGCAATGCTGTCTGCTTCGAATGGCCAGACTAGCTGGTACTCTTGCTGTAACTTGTTGCAGTGTGAAAGCCGGCTATTGGGATATCCTTCGGGTGCCCGGTTAGACCCATGAGTGTGCAGACTTTGGCAAGTAGGAAAGGGACAAATGACAACAGCTTTCAAGTCATCCCACTTGAAAACTATCGCTGGTGCTAGCGTTCTGCGTTTTCTTATCGCCCATTCGGGAGTCTTGTGAGGTGCAGCGACTTCAGCCATTTCAGGTGATAGGATGATGCTGGGAATACCAATGGCAATGCGAGTGTCCGTTCTAGCAAGACACAAGGTCGTACTCTTCAGGGTGCGAACACCTCTTCTGAATGAAGGTGAAGATGGGTTAACGAAGATAATACTAACTGCGGGGTAGTCTTGGCAGCGAACATCTGACTGGTTACCGTGTCTGTGCGACCCAATCTCCTGGTAGGGAACCAACGACACGTCACGATACACTGGTTCCGTTTTTGCAAGACATTAGAATGTATTCCTGGCAGGGGTCCTTGCTGACTCGGGCCAAGGGCTTGCCGGAAAGAGAACAAAACAAGCGAGCAGACCACTCAAGACGCGCACACACGAAAGCTCACCAAAAGTCAGTATTGTCTTGACCAATTACATACGCAAGGAGAGTGCTGACTTCTAGCAAGCCTTTGCTAGTCTGACGAACAAGATGACTAATGTGATGCTGATTGCTCTTCTAGGCAAAGTCTTCGCTTACTGTACTAGGGACCCTTGTCGCGTGAGTATCTTCCGTCTTGCAAAATGCGGAAGCCAAATATGCAAATCAGTGTGCAGCGTGCCAGTGGTCTGCGTCGTGCAGGCCGACGAAGGCAGCTGAAGCGTGGCCTGCCCGTGCCCGTCCACCGGGGCTATGTTGCTGTGTTGATCGTGCCAAGCACTGGTACACCCATAACATTATCGTTCGAAGGAGCGCTTACTCTAGATGAACTATACCATATGCTGTAAGATATCGTTAGTACTAAGAATTAATAGGCATAGGGATCTCCGCAGACAGGAAGCGGGGAGTTATGCTGGCTCATGCTAGAGTAGTTACGGTAAGGGCTGTGTTACGCGAGACAGGGATAACAGGTAAGCGACGTGCGGAAAGCGGAAACTGCAATGAGAGCGTATGAATCGAGCTCCATTGTCCAGTTCGCTTGAGATGCCGAGCACGCTGTCGCTTCGTTCTACAGACCCACTTGGAAAGCATAAGCTGCTTACTAGTCAGCAGTCGCCCCACTGCGGCACGGTTCCTGTCACGGCAGCCTTGTGCCGAGACGAAAGATCCTGCAAAGTGCTTATTGAGTCATGTCGCGGTCAACCTCGCTTGTAGCGTGGGGAGGTCGCAGCAGCCTTGCTGCCTCTCAGCCTGCAGCCACGTGCGGAGTTACTGGTAGTCGCTTGGAGTTAGGCGATTTGTCAGCTGTCTCACCCCGCACTAACTTAAGCCAGCTGGTCCTCATCTTCTCAAATACACATTACATGTCAACGTACATAACTACTCTGGCTATGAACGATTGTTCTGCAATTCCTTTCCATCTTGCGGACGAGCTCTGGCTCATGATCATCGACCGTGTGAGCGCATTAGACTGGAAGCAACTCCGACGAACGTGCAGACGCTTAAAACAGCTGACTACTCCTCTGCTCTTCCAGAGAGTGTACTTCAAGCTTTGTGGACGAGGTTGCGATTCCCTACATAATATCTCCTGCAACCGATCACTATCCGCGTGTATCCAAACTCTGGTGCTCCGGAGGGTCCGTGGCTATAGGGAATTCCCCGACTTCAACACTTGGGCTGCGAGCACACATCAACCAGGCGATCCTGGTAACGAGCTGGCTCTTCCGAATGATACAAGCCACTACAACAATAAGCAGATCAGCGACGGTCTGCTACCGTATACAGAATGGGTCGCACTGTCAAAGAATGAGAAGGAGGCGTTTTATCGGGAGTACGAGGTGGACCGCAAGCAGGCGCAGAAGGAGGTTCGGGATATAACGAATACACTGCGCTTTTGGACGCCAAGTGCTACGGAGTGGGCGCTGGTTCACCCCCACAGGGCTTTTGGCTCTACTGCGGCAGACGCTGCTGTGGAGCAGTTTTGTAAGGCGCTTGAGACACTCCCAAACCTGAAAGCTCTTGAGCACGAACCAGGGTTTCTTTATGACGACGACTGGGCTTGCCAATGGCGAAATCTGTACTTCCATCCCTCGTCAGTGATTTGCGACACTGACTATAGGGAAGATGAAGATGTTGAAGCGCTTCAATTGTCCGTTGTTCTCCATTCGCTTGCATGGGCTAGACGAGGAGATCGCGGGCTCAAAAAGCTGAGTATGTACGTTGGTGGGCCAGCATTCGCCACCCCAGAGCGCTTACACCTTCTCTGGGATGGCAACGGACACGAGATAACGCGAATGTGTCGATCCCTCTATCCCAATGCGGCGGTCGCAGACAAGGAGGCCTACTCTAATGAAGTAGCTTATGGGCAGAGTCAGCTTTTCTATAGGCAATTGAGCCTTATGCGGTACGCCTTAGCTGGTCTCACACACTTCGACTACGTAGTGTCTGATGAGGACGACCTGGTCGGCAGCCTGGAAATTGCTGCCAAACTTGTCTTTGGCTTTCTTACGGCAATGAAAGGCCTTGAAAGGTTACGCTTAGTCTTTGGAAGGCTTGTCGACGGCATCCTCTTGCCACTGTCACAATACACCGAGAGGCATTGCGCGCGGGACTCCATTCAGCTACTTGACCAGCTTACTCGCCACTCGCCTTGGAATAGAATTCGTGACATCGAACTCGAAATTGCCACGGATAGGACTTCGCTGGTGAAGTTTTTACTTGCTCACAAGGACACATTACGCTCCCTTACCTTCACCCGCATGTCACTCGTGCGACTGGGAGACCCTTTGAATACCTGGGAAATAACTCTTGCTGAAATTGCACAAGGGCTTTCTCTTAGTTCGCTTACTCTTTCAAAACTCTGCGACTTCCCACAAGAATGGAGAAGAGGCGTTCGGGAACGTATGCTGTTTGACTCAGAGGCTGCCATTTGGCAAGGAAGGATAAGCGAGTACCACGCGTACCACGACGCAGCAGTTGGGCGCATACTTCGTCGAGAAGGAGGACATTCTCTAGACCCTAAAGCCTCCAAGGACCAGATGGCTGAGGAGGTCATGGTGAGACAATAGCATCGCCATCGCTGCTCAGCCTGAGGACCTTGAACTCCATATTGGTGCAATAAATGATACAGTCAGGGTCCTGTATCGCGACCTCGCGTGCAACTGAACAAGAATAGATGTGAGAGGTAAAGAGCGAAAGATTGGGTGGGAACTTCACGTATGGGTGCGTTTTTGTTTTCGCGGGAAAGACAAACTCTATTCTATTCAAGCCGCAATCGCGAACGACTGTAGTAGATTAAAGTGCACTGTAAGTAAGACCGACTGCGATATGATCCGAGGATGCCCGTAAGCATTTTGGAGGATGAAGCGGTAGGACTGTGCCGCAGACGCATCCTTACATATCAGTAAGCAACTGACGCTCCACCAATCAACCCGCGCTCGAAAACAAGCAACCATTGGCTCGGCGTTCTAGGCAGACTGCTGATTCCCCATTCAAAGCGTTTGCGCTTCATCAAATCGAACTTCCATGTGCTTGTGAGGCTGTGAAGATGCGTTGGTGCAATGATGACTGTGTGTTTTGGTTGTTGTTGACAGCTGCGGACAGCCGAAAACAATGGCTCCAGATTCCTCAGCGATGACGGCTGAGCCAACATCGAGGCGTGGGGAAGAGCGAAGCTTCCGGCTAGACAATACAGTGCCTAGTAAATGCCTAAGACGTCTTGGGCAAGCGCAAACCAGGCGAGAATATGGATTGAGTGGGATGAAAGCTAGACGGCATGCAAAAAGTGGAAACTGCAAGTGCATGAGAGTGTAATTACCATTGACGATAGGCAGGTTGGGGACGCGCGTGCGAGTCGTCACCGAGATTCATCCCATTTTCCCCTGAACTCTTCGGAAGGACATGGCAAAACCGACAGCAATGTTGCCAAAGGCAAGCAGTGCTTGCCCGCAGCGCACAGATCGCCCGTCATAGCATAGTCAAGGTCTTGCATCGCACTACATCCTCGCCCCGATCTCCCTGCCGCCCACGCCCGAGTCGAGTCGCAATGAGCTCGAACCAGTCAAACGGTACAACAAGCGGCTACGGACGGAAGAGAATGCTGATCGGTGAAGTTGGCAAATGTGGCATCATTGTGTTTTCATACACTTTGCATCTCTGACGTGCAGAGACCAATGATTCTCATTAAATAGAATGCGAGAAGCCCGCGCTGAGCAGCAAGAACGAAGCGCCAGTACTCAGGGCACCACATGAGAATAGCCGGGAGGGCATGTGGGTCAATCAGTGGTTTCGCAGATGGATGGCCACGACCAACCCCTACGCTCTGCTCGCCCTACAGAAATGCACACTCACTTACGTCACTGCCTGTCATGGACGAGTTGATGGGGCACGACAGTACTCTGAACATCGATGACTGTTGATCTGAATGAGCGGCAGACTCCAAAACTAGTCTCGATACCTCTATCCATCCGTCCTCGATGCAATCGCCAAAGTCTGCCTCTTGAACCTCCTCTTCGCATCCTTCCTCTTCTCTACTAAGTCCCTACGTTGCGTCTGCAGCTGCTCAATCTGCTTGTCGATGTCATTGATTTGATCCTTGAGGTTCTGATCCCCAGTAAGTACTTGAGAGACTATCTTGGTGAGGTCTTCGAACTCTGCATCCTCGGCGGTGCGTTTTGTGCCTCGCAATTCTGGAGCGTCGACGGCGTTGGAGGGGTTATTCAGTTGCTCCGGGTGAGCAATTGACGGGTGCGGATGAGCGATTCTAGATGTGATGGGCGATGATAAAGGATTGGGTGTAACCTCAGCGAGTGTGAATTGGATGACTTTCATCGGTGGTTGGGCTTACCTCTTCCGATGTAGTCTTAGGCTCAGTTTGCCGTTCGTACCCAACGATGGGTGCTCTGACGGATGCAGCCCCCATCCGCTTAGCAATGTATTCAAGCGCACTCCGCAAGCGCTCAGGATAAGCCTTCGTTTCTCTGAGCACACAGTCCTTTGCTATTCCGGCTGCAATGAAGTACCACTTTACCATAAGTGTGAGTCGGGCTTTCTCGTCTTGGCCGATGCTGTGAGTACCTTTTGGGAAGGTTTTGTCAAATGGGTGTAGGATACGCTGTTTAGCGACGTCTTCAGAGCGGATGGCTGTCTTCGAAGGTGCGCGCATATCTTCGATATAGAATTCGATCTTGTGAAATTTGCGTAACTTTCGCATATACGCATAGATGTCGTTGCCGTGTTCTTTATGGTGGCCTATAAAGAGCTTTCTTGGCTGGGCATCGAGAAACAAGTCCTGGTTCACGAACTGAACATCGTCTGGGTCGGGTAGGTTTTTCAGCAAGTAAAGCGCGCCATGTGAATCCAAGTAATTGTGCAGCTTGTCCAGATCAGAATGCTTATCGTCGCTCATGCTGACCAACGGGCTTATTACTGGGCTTTTTACTGGGGTAACACGCTGTCCGGTTATCCCTACCTCTATACCAGGATGGCCGCGGTGACCTGAACGTTGATCTTGCGCGCCCCTAGGTTCTTCAGGTTCTGGCCTTTCAGATTCCTTCTCTGCACGTTTCTCTGCATCAATTTTCTCCAGTACGTTGTAGAGTCGCGGACAATACATGACATAGTCAATTTCAAGCTCAATTTTGCCCATGAAGTACCATTGAATGACGATACCGAAGTTACTCTTCCCCGGCTCAGAGGTGTCGGCGCTGTACCTGAACGGCACATTGAGTGGCAATTTCACCACCTCGTCTAGCGTAAGAGGTGGTGCTGTGGATGCATTGAGCCGACGATTGGCTGGCTTGAAGCAATATTGCACCTTGCGTGGGCTGCCGCCGAAGCTTTTCATGAAGGCAAGGATGTCGCGTCCGTCGTAGGTACCAATCACAAGCGCTGTCGGCGGTGTTGCTGCAGGATGAGGTAACGTGTCCGTGCACCTTGTGCCCGGATTCATCTCATGCCCCGCGAACACCATCTTAGCGATCTCAAATTTGAAGCTGTACAACACCACACAATAGCTTAATATTAATAAAAACATAGCATTGCAGTAATTAGATACTTGCGATTAACTTGTACTATCTGAATTTTTGTGGGAGGTTGACGTTGCGGCCACGTGATGTGGTCTTTGGTGGTGGAGGCGATGGAGGAGATGCAACTCTATCGCGAGCTCTATCCTCCATCGCTCGTTTTTGACGCTTGTTCTTAGAAGAGGGCGCTCTTGAGGCTTTACGCTTGCGTTGTTGAGCTTGTTGGGTGGCTTTTTTCTGGTGTTGAGCTTCAACTTTGCGCGCGCGTTCAGCTGCTTTCTCAGCTCGCTCAAGCTCCCTTATCTCCTTGAGCCTCTGCCTCTCTACACGCTTCTCCTCGAGCTTAACTTGACGCTGCAGTTGAACCTCCTCACGCTGCTTCTTGGCCTGTGCTTTTTGGAGTTTCTCCTCTATCTTATCTCGCTCCCGTACTACTTCTCTAGCTCGAGCCTCGCGTATCTTGCGAGGAGACCAGAAGACAGAGCCACCGTGATACTCCTGGCGCTGTTGAAGGTCAAGAGCTTTGCCCTTCTTCTTATGCTTCTTTTTATGTTGAAGAGCCTCCTTTAAGCCCTCGTTCTCATGCTGTAAAAGCTTATACTGCACAGAGAGATGGTGAACGCTTGAGCGCAGCTTTCTTGCCTCATACTGATGGCTATCATTGACAGCAGCTCGTACTAACCGATCGAGCTTTCTCCAGTCATGATCAGAGAGCCCTGAAGATGAGCTTCTCTCAGCTTCTGGCGTGCTGGCAAATCTACGAAGGATAACGTTGGGATCTATTGGCCATATACCAGTAGCTTCAAACGCTTTTAATATAGTTGATTGCTTAAACGAGGCCTGCCAAGCTCTCCAGAAGAGTGGGAAGAAGTCTCCTTTCTTAATTGGAATGAGGCCTTGAGCCTTGTAGAGATGGTTAGTGAGCTCGTTGGAGTAGGCTTGAGAGAGTGGCTTGAACAGCACTACATCGAGCGGCTGGAGCGTATGAGTCGAATGGGGAGGAAGGATCATGAGGAGGATCCTATGGCGATCGCAGTACTTGATAAACTCCATCGTGAGGTGAGATCCATGGCCATCAAGGATGAGCAATCGCCATCTCCCTGATCGCTGCTTTGTATAGCGATCAAACACCTGCTCTAGCCAAGCTAGGCCTACGTCATTGTTTGACCAGCCTGTTAGAGATGATGAGACAAAGACCTCATGTTCTCCTGCCTTAATATCCTCCACCCAACTCGATCGTATGGCTCCATTTTTAGCTGCGTAGATAAGGGCTGGAGGCAGCGAGCTCCCATCGGCGCAGCAGCAGGCCAGGAGTGTCAGAAACTCGCGTGATCCATCCTGGAGAGTAGACTCCGCAACAATCAATTCAATCCGGTCACTCTCCTAGACCCACTTACCTATCTAGGTAGGGCTTAAACTCCTATAGGTAACTACTAGGCTTAAAGCGGTAATCAATCAATCCAATCTGAACCTTCTAGGACCCACTTAATTGATTGTTGCGGACTGTGCTGGAGAGATGCTCGAACCTCTTTCTTATCCCATTGACGCCTGCTAAATATCCTCTTACTCCTGCCTATCATACCAATAAGGAAGCCCTTTTCATCCATATTGTATATATCTCGAGCCTCTAGGTGGTATTCGGTGATCTTCTGGTGCAGCAGCTCGAAGTAGAGTCTATACTTTGACTCAGAATCAGCCAGGTGGCGCGTACGATCCATGGCGGTGGTCCACTTTGAGATAAGATAGATCTCGTGTCGGTTAATGAAGCGAGTAACCCAGCTCTCGCTGAGCTGCTGATGGGCTACTTCTGATGAGAAATTCCTGATCATCTCTCTTGTAGGAGGTAGGCCTTGCTTAGTGAGCTTAGTGATATATCGTACAAGCTCTAACTCTTGTTGTGGGCCGATAGCTTGCTGCTGAGCGTATCCATCGCTCCTAGGCCCTGTCACGCGCCTCCATCTTCGCCCTAGCGTTGAGCGGTTAACCCCCCATTTTTCAGCAACTTCTTTTAATGTGAATTTCTCTCCTGGATCGCGCGATTCTAAATCTGCAATCGCTTCATCAATCGGAGCCATAGTTGTGGAGTTATTGCGCGTCAAAGTTGTAGTATTGAGACACGCGTCGGTGTTCGGCGGGGCATGAGATGAATCCGGGCATGAGGTGCACGGACACGTTACCCAACTCATCAAATCGTGGGCCGGCAGTGCGGCGATCAGATCGCCTGCGCCATAATAAGCGATGCGCTGCTTAATGATGCTGAGCGCCATGACTGTAGGTCGTGCACGAAACGATGCAGCTGAGAAAGCACTCGAAGCGTGACCCTAAGTAGCCAAGAGTAACGGGGAGAACCGATGCGTTGCCAATAGTAGTCCTGCTCCAATAGACGAAGTGCGAAAGTTTCAAAGTATAATGATAATGAAGAATGAGGTTGTCAACGGTCTTTGCGCCCGAGTCGAACATCCAAAAGTCTCGGCGACCGAAAGCTCGGACCACCAACAGCCAATCCGAAAACTAGTTAAGGGGTAACCTGTTTTATCAGTGAGCGCCCCACCTCAGTGAGCGCCCCACGAACACCAGCGAGGCGTACGCGCAGCGACGTAGCTCAGCACCACAACACAAATTTTGTACTCTTGCAACAGTATAGTATTATTCAGAAGCGTCGCTATTATTATATCCTCAATTTCTACCTTGCAGGTGCGAGAGTTGTGCCCAATCTCACCGCAACGGCCGCAGCGTCGCCCTGCGCGCACCCTCTTCGCCGGCTCCTCACTCTCCTCACGTCTGCCACCCTCCCTTTCAGCAATTAAGTCTAATACCTCGCCGACTGTTAGTGTCTCCTCTGCCCGTACGTAGCATCTCTTGCGACTTTTACGCTTTGTTGCTGCTTCAGTAGCAGTATTAAGGCGCACTATCTCTGCGCGCATCAACACCATCTCATGAGCCATCTGCTGCGCGCCTTTTGTCAGCTGCCGCACCTGCTCATCAAGTGAACTTGCTGGAGACCCTCGATGGATTTTCATCCTGTTTTGAACCAGCGTTGATTGCGCCTCCATTTCTTTGGCGTTGCGTGGTGTTTTCGCCTCCCAAGCGGCGTCGACTTGCTGTGGTGGAGTTTGCGTACGCAGCTGCACATCCAGCTTCGATAACACAGCCTGTGGATCATGTGGAGACAATCCAGCGCCTCGAAACCCTGCGCAAGCATTCTCTCTTGTAAACGCCTTCTCAAAAGCTACTTCAAAGGCTGGTAAGAAGGTCTGTTTGCTGATGTGGTTGATGCGATCGCGTGCCAAGGCTGAGATCTGATCACCGTACGCGCGCTTCAATGGCGAGAAACAGGCGACGTCAAGCGGCTGCAGGAGGTGCGACGAGTGTGGAGGCATACAGAGGGCAATAATCTTCTTCTCCTTGCAGCGATCCTGGAAATCTATCGAGCAATGGCTCTCGTGGCCGTCGATAATCAGCAGCCTATACGCTCCTACAGGCCTCGCATGCGTATCAAAGTGATCAAGCCAGGCAAGCGCTAGATTGTTGTTCGTCCAGCCTGTTGGGCTTACTTGAATAACCCAGTTGCGTGGGAGGTCCTCAGTAAACCAGTTAGAGATAAGAACCTTGCCGGCAAAGATGAGGAAGGGTGGGATAACACGCCCTGTTGCGCTGACGCCCTGTATTAACGTAGTCCACTCGCGATCACCAGGCTGAAGCTTCTTCGCTTTCCCAGGTTTCTCTATGCCTGTCAAAACAAGTTGTGAAGATATCTTGCCCATCAGGAAGCCAGACTCGTCAAAGTTGTACATGTCGTCGTCCACAATACCGTACTTCGCCTTCATGTTCTGAACCAGCGTGAACCAGGGCTCGATGATCGCTGGGTCTTCACAGAGAGCTCGCTGGTGATCGTATGGACGAGTCCAGCGCGTGCGCAGCTCAGGTGTACGCTTAATAAACCTGTCAACCCAGCATTTACCAACAGGCTCACCGCCGCGGTCGCGCAGCAGTCTATCAGCCATATCTTGTGCGTGTAGCTTTGAGGGCGGTACTCCACGTAGGTTCTCGTCAAGTATACGCTGCAGAATCACTTCCTCTTCTAGCTTCGTCAGGCGCTTTGATCTGGGCTCGCAGTCGCGTCTAGAGGGCTTCCCGTCGCGTCGTCGTTGTATCGTCCTACGAGGAACGCTGTAGACTGCCTCAGCACGTCGCAGGCTCGTAATCTAGTCGCATTTAATGTCAGAGAGGGCAAGCTGCACGTCAGCTTTAGTATAGGGCTTGTGAGGTTGTGGTTGTTGAGACATTACGTGTTGAGTGTCGCGCATGCGCTTCGCTGGTGTTCGTGGGGCGCTCACTGAGGTGGGGCGCTCACTGATAAAACAGGTTATGTTTAAATTATCAGATGTTTCTACCAGGCTGTTGTTGAGATCTGAAGGTGCGGTTTTCGTGTTTTTTGGTGGGTTTTTGGGCTGGCCGATGACTGATACAATACGTTACTCCTAGGTAGGCGTAGATGCTGACAATTATACATCGAAGCAATAAACACCCGTTGCGCATGCTCGAAGTCGTCTTCTTCTTGAAAACGCTAAAATGTATGGAAACTCTATCGAAGCGCAAGAGCGACAATACAACAGGCATTCAGGCAAACCCAATCATCCTCTTCCCACTCAGAAACCCACGCACGTTCCTCTGCACAGCATCGAACCTCACCGCACCACAGCTTTCGCTCTCAAGATGATTGAACAGCGCCGCAAGCGCCCGGAACTCCCTAGCACATGCCCTGCCCGGGCAATGATACACCTTCTCCTTATGTACCGGCGAATTGACGTGAGCGTTCAGACTCTTGAGTTCCCTGAAGCCCTTGTGGCACAAGTAGCATTCGTAGAGGAGCGTGTCGCAATTGTAGGATGCAGAAGTAGCCGTGATGCTTGAACCGGATTCGGGGTACGTCAGGAGCTTCTTTGTGATGAGTTGGTTCGGGTCGCGGCGGCGGACTTCGGCCAGGATGGTGTCGCGGTTGAGCTGGCGAGCTTTTGAGCACGAGCCGGTTTCGAGGTGGTGCGTTACGCCTGTGGCTGTTGCGAAGCCGCGTTTGCAGAAGGGACATGTGATGTTAGAGCCGCGGTGGATACGGCTGTTGAGATGCTACGTGGGATCAGAAACGGCATGTGGCTGAGGGGTCCAAACTCACAATGTGCAGGTTGTTCTCGTTCTCGAAACCCTTGTTGCAATCGTTACAGTAGTGGTTGCGCCAGTGGCCGTGGCTGTTCATGTGCTGCTTGATGCGGGCAAATGTGTCATACCACTCATCGCAGGCTTCGCACTCGTACCTGGGACCGTAGTGTCCTTCGTCCTGCTGATGATCTTCAAGGTCTCTCGAGTCGTAGAAGGCAAGATCGCAAAAGTCGCACTCGAATACGTGGCCGACTGCGTTCATGTGCTGTCGGGCCGCGGCCCAGCTGCTGAATCGTCTGTCGCATTGCCCGCATTCGGGATACATCTTGAGGCGAGATAGTATGAATTGGCTGTGGCGCCTCTAGACGGATTGAGAATGAGGACAATGTAGAATCGGGCCAGTTGAGTGACGAATTGTCACGGTGTTAGCATGTACAACTATGTGACTATCCCCCGAGAAGGACCTATACCTATTTTGGACTAGCATTATTTACAGTCCCCACTAGATAACTCACCGTAGCTTCACCTACGAAGTACATATCACAGTTCCATGTCTCCACTGCCGTATCACGTAGTACACCTGACCGTTGCTCTACACATCACCGCTTTCCTACTACATACATTGTTCATAGCAACATACAATAGAACCGCAGTTCGATCCTTCAATTCCTTCTGCATATGCGCAGTTTTCATGTCAGACTATCCACTATATATACCTTCATGCTACAACTGCAGGAAGGTCGGCCTTTTTGTAGTTCGACATTTCACACCGCGACAACACTATAATAGGATTTGATGTGACCGCATGAGAAGTACGTCGTGGTTAAATCATGATGCATAAGCACAGGGTTCTGCTTACGTTCTGACGGCTGGAAGCAGGGTGTCCTGTTGCATGCAAACGGCTTCAGAATGTGTGCCTCCCAGCAAACAGAATGCTGCGATCACCCAATGTCGGGATCGGGTGGCAAAGCATGGTTATCGGTTACTGGTACGAAGGAGCTCGTTTTTAGTGAGGAATATTCGGCCCGTGCGCCAACTTCACATTCTTGGCTTAGGTAGAGCTTGGCGGCGGGGTAGCTCCTGCAGGCTACGGTAGTGGGTAAAGCGCGACTTGTCGTTGCAAATGTGAGTATCCGCGCAGTTGTCGAGACGAAAGTAGCTATCGTTTTCGCGTTTTCGTGTGGTACTTAACGCATGTCTAGAAATGGCAAAGGAAGCCCTAGGCCTAGTCTGCCGCGTACCTGTCAATGTGGCAGAACTGGCTTGGCTTGTCGCCTTCTCAGACTGATCATCTGCGTTGTTGCTATTCCAGAAATCAGGCAGTGCGATCTTGCTGCGAGAATATCTTTTCTCTATCTTCTCGCGCTGGCGATTGCTTCCTGAGATGGCCGTGATTACTTCCGATTGTACGTGAACTTGTGGTCTCCATTTGGCCGGAGCCTTTGCAGGGTTAAGGTACCAACAATCAGCGTACTTGTGTGCTTGTCCGCAAACACAGTCTCGAAGACAGCTCGGCTGGGTCGCAGAGACCGAGCTCGATCCAATCACCTCTCGCTTCCGCCGTGGCTGTCCATCCTCCTCATCTGACGTCTTCGGATCACGACCGTGCTTTCTGCCCTGAAGCGTAGCGTGAGCTGCGCGACCTCTTGCTGCTTTATGTAATGGTGTGGAGAGAGGGGGAGGACTGCGCTGAATTGACTATCTGAAGTGGGGTGAGCTACATATATAGATGACCGTACATGAGCTATCCCAACTCGTATTAGAGTGGATCTGGGCAAGGCCCAAACCGTTACACACTTTATCGCTCGGAGGTGCCATGCTCCGAAATTTCTTGATGCAGAAGCTTATGGTAATCCTATTATTAGAGAGTGTTGGCTTCAGCCTACGGAAGGATCTGAGGGTCCTGTCAATCGTGTGCTGTGCTCTTTGTACCGCGGGAGCATCGACTTCGTCGACCGCATCGTCAGAGTTAGCATCACTTGAACCGCTCATTATGGTAGAACCACTGCTTGCTTGTTCTGGGCTGATTGTGTTCAGCGCTGTGATAAGTGCATCCGAGACTCTCTTCATAACCATTGCCGTCTGGCTGATGACAGACGCTTGGCTTTCGGATTGCGCGTCTTTTGACTTCATGTAGTTGTAAAATGGTGGGTTAATATCTTGGCACGCTTCAACGAAAGCTTCGCATATCTGCGGCTCGCTGAGGTTCTCGATCGTGTACCGTTTGGCACTGTTGACGAGTGAGGGCCATCGGCCAAGCCACTTGTCCAGGCTTGTGTTACCAGGTCCTTTCCTGAGCTTCTCAAACTCGGTTCGGATGTCTTGCCTTTGGTCTTTCGCGTTCGGCTGAATGCTTTCTGAGAGTGCGACAAGCTTGCTCCTCACGTCATGTTTGCCAAGGTAGTGTTGCTTGAACTCTTGACAGACAGTGTAGTCGATGCGATCAGATACTTTGTCGTATTTCTTCTTCCCAGAGTCGAAGATGCTTTGCAAGCTTTGGAACTTCTGGATAGTGTCCTTGCTTGCTGAGTCTAATGGCTTTGTTAATGTGAAGACAAGATTCTCGATGCCTAGCGGATCGCAGTACTTCCAAACCTCGTTCCGCTTAGCAAGGTCTTCGATGGAGTTGTACCAATCGATCCAACCGCTGCGAGCGTTGAGCATCGGTAGATTGTGTTCCCTCGTCGACATCATAGACACGTATTTAATTGCTTCTTGATACTTGTCGTCTTTTAACTTAAGGTGGTTGTCGTTGTTCAACCCTCGAGTGTTCTGACGATCGCGGGGATGCGGGGTTGCGGATGCGACCCCTCACTTTTTGTTGGGATCGCGCCGACAATTGCAACCAGCAGCGTGCTTGCAATGAGCAGTACAGAGATAGTGCTGCAGAAGAAGGTTGACCAGGCTGCAGAAGGAAGGTTGACCAGGCTCATAACTGTCGCACGGTTGGGTGCGGGTATTGTGGACAGAAAAACTAGGAGAGAGTGTATCTTCTATTGTTTGTAGCATTCTAGCTGAGCTCATATACGAAAGAGCTCGTTTTTAGTGTCCCCACCCAAACACCGAGATGCCGGCTTCCATCCCAAACCTGTAAAATAATCTCAACATACCCACCACAATACTCTGGAAACATGAGTTTAAACCGCAGAAAGCCTTTCAAATACAAGCTTACGCGTACTCTTCGAGTTTCTAAAACTTCTCGTACCGAAATCCCTCCAAAAACGCGTGCATTCATAGCTGGTGCAGCATTACTCGGGAATGTCAGCCACCACGCTATTGCCGCAGCCCTCCACCGCGACCGCTCGGGTATATCAAAGCTTATGAAGAGGATAGAGGACAAGGCAGAGAGTGGGGGCTTCGACCTATGGGACCCAGTCCTCTTTCAGGATGACATTGGGCGTGGGGGACCCGAGGTTCTGAGCCAGGAACAGAAGGATGAGATCGTCCGCATCACAACGCAAGATCGCAACCACCGCGAGGAGGAGCCATGGCAGGCAATAAAGCATCGCCAGCTTCATGCTATCGCGCCTAATCTGAGCATTTCTACATTTGAGAATGTCATGTATAGAGCTGGTTACAAGCGCAGAAAGCCAGGCTGGAAACCACCACTTTCATCTACCCAACGCCAAGAGCGATTGAGATGGGCCCTTGAGCACAACCCCGATCGATACGAGGTTGGTGATGGACTTGGCTTTGACTTCCGCTGCGTGGTATTTACTGACGAAACACCAGCTCGAGTGGGAGAAGAGAGAGGCATGATCCGTACATGGGCGCGCGATGATGAAATTTACAACGACGATGTACGCCACGACCGCAATCGTCGAGACTGCTGTATACAATTCTTTGGGGCTTTTAGATACAACTTTAAAGGACCTTGTCATTTATACTTTCATGAGACTCAAGAGGAGAAAGAGGTAGCGGAGGAGCTTCTAGAGTTGGAGAATGCAGCCACTCGAACATCCTCCAACCATGCCCAACGAAGGGCCCGCGCAGCCCTCCAGGAGCTTGGTGAGGTAGATATAAACTTCGTACATCTACTAGAAAGCTTGAGCATATCAAGAAACATGACTATCACCGCGGTATTAGGTCAAGAGGAGGGGTGGATGGGTATCGCCACCGCGAAGGAGCTCTTAAGAAGGTCGCTCCATGGATTAACTCCCTCAAAAGTCGAGGAGTTGCATGTTACTTACTTGAAGATGGAGCTCCTCCTCACAAGTCTCGTATTGCAAATGACTACCTACAAGTTCAGAAGATTGAGAAGATGGCTTGGCCAGGTCACAGTCCAGATGGGAACGCATCTGAACATGCCTGGTCATGGCTGCGGCGTCATGTGACAAGGCAATTCACACCCTCATGTACTCCACAACAGTGTCAACAACAATGGGAGGCTGAGTGGGAAGCTCTGCCTCAAGAAATAATCAATAGGTGGGTGATGGGGATTCCTAAGGTGGTGCGTAGGATCATTCAAAATGAGAGCAACAACAACTTCCATGGGTGAGGCGCAACTCTAGAAAATCGCTATATTAATAGCTCTAATACAATCGAATAACCTTATCTTTTTCAGCTGTAAAAATGAGCGCGTTGTGTTGTTGCTTCATTGTTTTGTATGGCTGTGCAGCCAAAAAAGTGAAGTTCCTACATGGGTGGGGACACACTAAAAACGAGCTCCTTCGTACCCCAGCCAATACCTCAGCCATGACCTCAGCCACAGGGCTCCTGCACGTATTGGGAACAGCCTCACAACGAAGCTCAGTTCTAATGTGTTCGTGTCATTCCCAAGCCGGCTACGCCGGCTGCCGTCATCCGTGTGAAGGTCCCAGCGATGAGTCGCACTCGTAACGCACGGTACATTTGCAATGGCTATCAGAGGAGACATCGGCGGGGGTAAGTCGTCGCTGTCTTATGCAAAAGAACTGCAGCATAGCATCGATGCTGGTGGCGTTGCGCTATGGCTTATTTATCAGGCTGTGCCACCGAGCACCAGTTAAAACCCAGTTGCTGGTACAGATGGTTTCCTTCTCTAGCGGCAACGGGAGTAAGCCACCGTGATGCCCCCAACTTGCTCACCACCACAAACATAAGGTTGTTGTAACGCGTGCAATAGGTATTATCCTAAGATTTTTTTAACAGAGTCATTTTTATCAGGCTTGCAACCACTTTGTACTAATTGTATCTACGTGGGAGGCGGATAGGGCGGCCGTGACTGCTCAACTTGGGTGCCCCTCGTTACATGATCAATTCCGAATACTTCCGGAGGCTGCTCCGTAGTGGGTTCCGACTCTAGGGGGACCCTATTCATCCATATTACCGTTCCTCCTCGTGACTTGGAGCTCCGACACAGACTATACGCAAGTTTTCTTGTATGTGGTATCTTGAGCCGGGTTCCGACCAACACAACTGCATCCACATTGTCTAAAGCATCTTGTTCCCATGTCGCCGCGATTTCCTCAGCATCTGGGCTTACCTCTCCATAGAGTAGGATCTTGGGCCGCAAAACGCCAACAGGCAGGCCCCTCTTGCCTCCCGATTTGCGCCTTTCGCTCTTAAGACGACACTCTTCGCAAGGAAACCCAAAAGTGTCATCGTAAACCGCGAATGGTACGTGCTTCGTTTTGTGACATATTGTGTAGATGAACGTATCCAACCGTCCGTGCAGCGAGATGGTCCGACTAGATAACTTATGTAGGGAGGTATCTAGACAGTCGATATTTTGGGTGTAGTGGCGAAGAAGACGGGAAGTACTGGCAAGCTCATCCAGAAAGTGGTGGAAGGGAGTGGGCTGTGCTTTCGAGCATATATTGTAGAGAGCACGACTCCAACTAAGAAATTCCTCGGACCAGATAGCAGAGATGTCTAACATATTACGACTGGACATTTTGGTCCTAGAGCGACTCTGGAAGTCGTCCACTACCAGGAGGGTTAACAGACGAACGTACCACAATCTCTTAGTGACTCACCTCCAGCACTTGTAGAGATCCCAGCACCCGTTATAAAGACAATCTTGTTCTTGTCTTGAACAATTTCCCGTAATGAAGGATTGTTCTAGGAGAGAGACGGGCCACTGTGTGGAATGCTGTCGTCTTCGACGAGAATGGGGAATAAGAAACTACTACCCGGACGAAGGCCATTTTTGTCGTCGTCGTGGTTAATTGAGTCGAGTTTATTGCCCCGACCATCGGACGCATCTACATCCTCTTTTTCGGGCACTGTTGCCGGTGAGGCGTCGTCCATCTTGACGTCATGCAGGTCGACGGGCTGGATCCTTTTGTTTTGCAATGACTCAGATTCAGACTCGGAGGAAGCAGAGGAGGCGCTGCTGTCGTCAGAGTCTCGGATGGTTACGACTTGTTTTGACCGAGTACGCCTCCCGTGGTTCGACGCATTAAGGAGGACCTTGGAGGGAATGCGCCGAGATGAGCAGACGTAGACGATGTCGCGACTTAATTCTAAACTGGGAGTACGAGGTCGCGCTTAAGATACGCTTGTAGTAGGTTTCCTAGATAGCTAACCAACCTTATGCGAAAGCAAAGTGCGCGTTGCGGTACCATAAGTTAGATCCCGTCCCCTACGCCCAGTTTCGCGTAACCGCCTCATCACGCGTAGCCGCCCCCAGCGTCGCGCCAGAACGGCCCTCGCAGCCCGCCAGACAGCGTCTCTCATAGGCCGCCATATAGCACTGCAGCATTATAGCACAATATGCGCAGCAGGCTGAGACGGCCAGGCTAACACGGCCAGACCGAGATGGCCAGGCTGAGGCGACCAGGCTGAGGCGACCATGCCTTCCTGCTGCACTTATCTTTGCTGGAGCAGCCTGCCATCGCCTCCTGTTTCTGCTGTGTTCAGTTGCAGTTACACAAACATGGCCGGCACTAAGCCTACTAGCTGCGCCGACTACCACGTAGCATGGATCTGCCCTGTCGCCGACATTGAGCTTCTGCCTGCGCGCCTGATGCTTGACGAGGAGTACCCCACCCCGCTGTACGACACGCACTACGATGAGAACACCTACGTCTGCGGCACTATCAGCGGCCATGCAGTCGTCGTCGCAACCTGTCCACCAGGCGAGACGGGCAACGTCAACGCCGGGCGCTTGACGGGGTCGATGTTCAAGACGTTTCCCAACATCCGCATGGCAGTGCTTGTGGGCATTGGAGGCGGAATTCCTGGCCTGGCTGTGTCGGAAGACTCCCTCGAGAACGTCCACCTTGGAGACGTGGTGGTAGGATGGCCGGGCGACGGCAAGCCCGCGTGTGTCTACCATGAGCGAGGCAGATGGAAAGTCGACGGACAGTTTGAGATGGTGGGCACGATGGGAAACCCAGACTGGAGGCTGACCAACGCGCTCGGCTTCCTTGCGGTGGACTACGAAATGGGCAAAACGACGTTTGAAGATCAGCTTGCGAGACTACAGCGGTCCAAATCAAAGAAGAAGTTCACACGCCCTAGACTCAAACACGACAAACTCTTCAAGACGACGTACCGTCATGCCGGCGACTATAGATCGAATTGCACAACGTGCGACCCGAGCGAGCTCGTCCAGCGACCCCAACGCAGCGAGGAAGAGCAGCACACGCTCGTGTTCCATCGAGGGAGGATTGCCACTGGCAATGCGGTTATCCACGATGGCGAGCTGCGGGACCAGATCAGGGCTCGATGCGACGGGGCGCTCTGTGTGGAGATGGAGGCGGCAGGCGTCGACGCGAACAGACGATGCCTAGTCATCCGCGGCATCTCCAACTATGCGGACTCGCACAAGAGCGACATGTGGAGGTCATACGCGGCTGGCAACGCGGCTGCGTTTACGAGAGAGCTGCTATGCAAAATTCAGCCATGAGAAGTAAAGAAGATGGAACCTGAAGGTCAGTAGTAGCTCTATCTAGTTGCAGATTGTGTTTTCTATAGCATAGCAGTGGATTAATGTAGTCCTTTGTTAGCAGTTGACACGTTGCGCAGTGTGCTAATGTAGAACAGTGCTATGGCTCGTCCCATTACCTAGACCACAGTCCTTTGTCGGCCGCACGACTCAGCTTGCCCAGCTTAGTACACACATATCGTTACAAGGGTGCCACCGACTCGCTATATATGGCCTCGGCGGCTGCGGGAAGACAGCCCTTGCTCTCGAGGCGGCTTATCGGGCGGGAGAGCAGCAGCCTGCGCATGCCATCTTCTGGGTACCAGCGGTCAGCCGAGAGAGCTTCGAGCAAGCGTACCGAGAGATAGGACGAAGGCTGCGCATACCGGGCATCACCGGCGCCAAGGCTGACGTGAAGCAGCTCGTCAAGGCGAGACTGAGCGACGAAGGCTTTGGGCAGTGGCTGATGGTTGTCGACAACGCAGACGACGTCGACGTTCTTTTCGAAGTAGTCGGGGAAGGACGCAGCGGAGACCGGCTAATTGACTACCTCCCGCACAGCCGCAAAGGCTCCATCGTGTTTACTACCCGGGCCCGCAAGGCTGCAATCGACCTGGCTGAGAATAACGTTATAGTGCTGGGTGAGCTGAGCGAGAGAGAAGCATTGGAAATGGTAAGAACACGCCTGATTCTCGAACAACAATATCAAGTTGAGGATGAAGTGACGGTCCGCGAGTTTCTGGGCATGCTCGCCTTCCTTGCTCTTGCGATCGTCCAGGCAGTAGCGTTTATCAACCGAAACGATAGTACGCTTTCTGGCTATATTCGACTATACCGAGCGAGCGAGGAAGAGGCAGGCAAGCTTCTTAGTAAAGAATTCAAGGACCAAAGCAGATATGAAGAGATTGAGAACGCTATCGCTACAACGTGGTACATCTCTTTTGAACAGATTCAGAAGCATGACAAAGTAGCTGCAGGCTACTTGTCGTTTATGGCATGTACAACAAACAACAACATACCTCTCTCCATGTTACCAATCGAGGGATCGGAAGTGGAACAGATTGAGGCGATAGGGACGTTGAAAGCATATACCTTCATCACTGAGCGACAGCCTCAAGCAGATAGGCACAAAGCGCAAGAACAGCAGGAACACTCACTGAAATCAACTGCGGCATTCAACGTCCACCCCCTAGTGCACCTAGCAATGCAGGGTTGGCTAAAGGCTCATGACCAGTGGTTTGGCTGGGCCGAGAGGACAATGATGCGGCTAGTAGAGGTTCTCTCTCTTGGCGAAATTAGATTAAGAAAGTCCTGGATGCCATATTTGCCACACGCTACATGTGTCGCGGATATTCATGAAATCTTAGAGTCGGAAGGTAGATTAACACTGCTGAAACAGGTGGGACGTTGGGAGCATGTGCTGGGACGGGATCGAGCAGCAGAGAAAGCTCACCGGCACGTGCTGAAAAGACAAGAATCTACGTTAGGAAAGGAGCACGTGGAGATGCTGGCGAGCATGAGCATGCTGGCACATACACTATGCGGCCAGGGAAAGTACGCAGAGGCAGAGGTGATAGATCGAGAGACGCTGGCACTAAGGGAGAAGGTGTCAGGAAAAGAGCATCCAGACACGATAACGAGCATGAACCACCTGGCACAAGCACTTGGCGGCCAGGGAAAGTACGCAGAGGCCGAGGCGATGCATCGAGAGATGCTGGCACTAAGGGAGAAGGTGCTCGGGCATGAGCATCCAGACACCCTGGCGAGCATGAGCAACTTGGCGCTAGTGCTGGACAAGCAGGGCAAGTACGAAGAGGCCGAGGCGATGAACCGACAGACGCTGGCGCGGCGAGAGAATGTGCTGGGGCCTGAGCATCCAGACACCTTGACGAGCGTGTACTACCTAGCTCATCTTCTTGCGAAACAGCATCGCGTCGATGAGTCTTTACTTCTTTACCAAAGGGCATCCGCTGGGTACGACACCGCCCTTAGAAAGGGCCATCCGACTGTCTTGGTGTGCGACCAACATTATGCTGATCTGTGCGCGACACAAGAGCAGCGTCGACCTGCCTGTTCTCCTAGCACGTTAGATAGTGGTGCAGTAACATCTACAAGCAAGAGATCAAGACTGTCACGTGGTCTAGCCAAGATTGGCATTAAAAGTTTGAAACATTAAGTTTCAGTGCGCCAAAGGATTGCATGTCTAATTACTTTTCCCCCTTAATGTCGCTTCTATGTTACCTGCTTTAAACTGCAGGGTTGCAGACCCGTCCCTCTCTCTATAATTAAGCAACAAAAACCCCTTACAGACCTCTACTAAGTAGTGCACTTTGTCTTCCTTTAGTGTTGCTTTAATCTTTCGTGGCGTAGCATACTCGCTCCTTAATACTAGTTACACCTACTGAGCATTTGACCCCTTGTCTACCTACCAGAGATGTTAGTAATATTGTGTCTCTTATGTTCACTAACGAGATTCTGCGATCTATTCTGCGAGCTTGCCCAAGGCAAGCAAAGCGCGTATTTCAGTATGGTACGATACGCAGATATCTGAGCACGCTACTGCATGCCGAGAGCATCCATAACGCCATGCCCGTGTAGACGAGTTTTAGCGATCTTGCTGCCCGTATAGAGAAACTGCTAGAAGCCACATTCCACACCTTAAGTTGGTCCCTAGAGCCTGCGATCCTGATTTTCAAGATATAGGCTTTCTTTCTAGACCTCCAAGCGGTTAACTGAGACGGTTCGTCGCGCGTGGACAGGAGTATCTAAAGGAGGCTGATTGTGGCGGTTATGAGGAGAAGCGGATCACGTGTGCCACGTGATGGTGATACATCGTGTAAACAGACCCTGCTGCTGCCTTCGTAGAAAAGCGAGCAGACAGAACACGAGAAGACACAATATAAAAAATATACTCTGATTACTGCCTCGCGCGGACACGCTTTGATTGACTGTATTCACTACAACACTGATCGATAGTAGTAACTGTCACGGTTTGGGGTCTCTCCTGTTCTGCTTCTGCAGTCGCAACTCACTTATGGTAAAGGCGCGATGCCTATTAAGGGCTAGTGCTGTTGATGGTCACCCACCTACATATACAGTTCGTAGCCTCACACAATACCACCTCAGTTCAATCCTCAATTCTTCAAGCACCCACTATCCCCACAACGGTCCATAGAAGTACTCCACTTGGATGTGAGCCTGTCTTCGTGTCGGTAGAGGAAGCGTGTAACCCAGCTTTCGGAGACAGGCTGTGCAGCGACATTAGACGCGTAATTCTGCCAAATGGTCCAACGTTTGCAGAGCCTAACCCCTCCTGAACAAGCGCATACTAAGTGGGCCAATGTGCTGCGTGGGATTAAAGGCGAGCGGCATGCAAAAAGCGGAAGCTGCAAGTGCATGTGAGTGTACGTAGATTCTTCGTTGTATTCAAACATCCTAATTAGTTGATAGATCCAACATCTCACAATAGTGGTAGAAGTAGCTAATCGCAAAGAGAGTTAGTTGTCGGAACCCGCGCTCAGAACTATTCATAACCGTACAGCCCCTACACGGCTATAGTCCGCAACAAGCAAGTCAAAGCCTTAATTAAGCCTCTATTAATAAGGAATCGGATCACTTTCTGGGACGTGTCTCCATGCACGGATATTTATTAGATTTGTTTGCCACTATCAATAACAATTAAGCCGGCTTGACTTGCTTATTGCGGACTGTGTACACGGCGCTAGTACTTGTTAGGTAAGTATCCTGAACAACGACTGTGCGCTGTGAATAAATCATGTGTAAGAACCGGAAACCGATTTCGGTCAGCACTGTAGGCGTTTGCAGGTACCGCCATGACAATGCTAAGAAAGTGGGGCAGCAGTGGAGCGTCTGCTTAAAAGCAGGAATGGGGCCATATGCGAAAGGGAATCCGCCCACGATGTGCTTCCGCTAACATCACATTAGTTGATGCGTCGCCAAATCACTTTGGGAGGACAGTTCTATTAAGGTCGCTCCGATAGCCTCTAGAAACCTTATATAGGCAGACTTGTCAACAATCAAGCCGCCGATCGGCTTGATTATTGACAAGTCTGTATACGGGTATCTCTGCTAGACAGAGAGGACTAACCCGCAGTCGCTCCTTCATACCCAGACTTCACGACACTCTTTTCTACAATCCTTACTTTTACGTGAGCGACACAAGCGTTCTCCACACACTCCTTTACGTACTTTCTTCACCATGAAGTATGGTGTACTTACCCTTCTTCTCAGTGACTTCACACTGTGCGCCGACTCCACGCCCCATACCGAAGACAACAGCTGATACACAGCCCTGACGGATAAGGTCCTCGTTCACATAGCACCAACAACAGCCTCTTGCGCTGGCGCAGAGTTCCTCGAGGAGTGCACAGATGCGACGCAAGCAGCAAGAGCTATCAACGCGGCCTTCGAAACGTATGGAATCTCCTCGCTCAGGGAAAGGGTTAGCTTAGTGGCCGACATACTTTTCGAATCGGGCAACTTCAAGTACAACAAGAACCACTATCCAGGCAGGCCGGGGCATGGCACAGGGATGATGGCGATGCCCTCTTTTGTCAAGCCCTATGCGGAAAGCGTCGCTGGTGCCGTCGCTGTCGCGAAGGCGGAAGCCGCCGGAGGGGACACGGGCCTGGACGCGCTTCTGGAGTTGGCCAACGGCAACGACGAGAAGAGTTTTAGGATCGCGGCTTGGTTCCTCAGCACACAGTGCGCCGACTCCATTCAACCCGGGCTGGTTACGAGAAAG